ATGCTGATTGGCTGGGAAGCTGGCCACAGACAGTCAAACAGCATGGAGTCGGCTTCCCAGGCAATCAAGAAGTCGGGCAGTGGGTAATGACATGCCCGGAAAGCCGGCTAAATGCTAGCGGAAACACCGATATCAGTACTCGGTAACGGTGTCAGCGCATCCCTAGAAACAAGCTATATATTCTTCATTAACTTGGTTAGGGGACAAACAATATTATTTTATCACAGCCCACAGTTACACAGTAACCACCTAATCTAACAATATGATCTCAAACAATGATATTCCCTGTGGTTTGTCACCAACTCCATGCATACCACTGTAAGTAGATTCGCAAACTGTACTAATCCCAGTTTAACTAGACTGGGCCTTTTATGAAATACTATAATTAATATTTACATAAAGTTCAATTAATAGCTAAGTTTCTTGTTTCTTTAATCAGCTCTAAACCCTCTTGATAATGAACAGTTAAAAGTTTCACTTGATGCAGTTCCCAGCATTTCATGTCCTACACTAGCTGTAACTGGCCCCTGCTGCTGCATTTTTATTGGTTCTGCACCTTGAGGGAGTAGCTCTTCTTACCATCTTGTTAAAGATGTCACCAGCACACCATATTGAAGTGAAGAACATGTCTGTTTATTGCATTTTTGCCTATATTTTGTTGTTTTGTGTACCAGTTCAAATGGAACGGAGCTCTCGCCCTTCCACTTCCCTCTGGTCACAGACCCGCACTCTCCGTCCTGGACGGGCACTTCCTGGTGGTGTACCAACATTTCAAAGGCTTACACCTCGGTCACCTCGATCCTCTCCAGAGGCCACCTTCTCTCCGGTCCCTGGACTCACATGTAAGTGTCAATTTTCCTGGCTTTTTTTGCAGAGACAGGCAGTCTCCAGTATGTGAATATATACTACCAAGGTTTTTGCACCGTTTTGTGTTTCTACACATCTGTAAGCAGCAGTTTTTTAGAGTACTGAAGTGGAGCAGTGATGGCAGAAACCCCCCCCGAAGAAGTGGAGCACGGGTGGTACAAACCCCAGTGTCCCCCCTCCCCCCTGAAGTGGAGCACGGGTGACACAAACCCCAGCCCCCCCCTGAAGTGGAGCACGGGTGACACAAACCCCAGCCCCCCCC